GTCACACACACACACTCATACCGACAAGCGCTCAGACAGGCACGCAGGTCACAAGCACGCACACACAGACAGACTTAGAAAACACAGCAGAATGCGGGAATCTCACAAAGGCACCCATTCCATCGACATAACTTCAGAAATCAGCAGTGTTCTCCGTCTGTGTTTTGACGGGTCATTACACTACCCCCCCCCTCAAGAGCGAGGTCCCTTTGAGCGAGTAACTCAATCAGAGTCCTTGCACAATGCATCGTAGGGGTAGATAGAGATCGGGTGTGTTCCGGAGGAGTCAGGGTAGCAGTGAATTTTGGTTGCTGTTCAGAACTTATCAATCGTTCATAGGCGTTAACGACGCGCGGTGCACTCTGCAATAAGTCTTTCTTAGCAATCCAGTAGAAGTCATTCAGTGGGTGGTACAAAAAATGCACTTTATACCGTCTGTTTGTCCCCTTTCCACTGTGCTCGACGATTCTATCAACCTCGTGACCACCATTGATTGCGAGGGGAATCATCGATTCTTGGTACTTGAATGTCTCAGGTGGCTCATACGGAAATAACTTCGATGCGTGAAAGACTGGGTATGTGCGCAAATGAGCAGGCACATCAATCGTGTAAGAAGGACCGAAGGAATCATTACCTATTCGATTCAGCACCTACCAGGGGCCGTAGTACTGAGGAAGAAGTTTCCGTGATGCGCCTACTTCTTCAGAAAACTCAGACATCTTGACCCAGACATAACTTCCCACTGTGAAAGGATCAGGCTGGCGCTTTTTGTTTGCGTGCTTAATCATGGCACTGCGTCGCCTTTCCATAGCTGTGACAACAACTTTGAGCAAACGATCATACTTAGCGCTGTAGCCTGGCTGGCCAGGTGTTAGGCCAGGTGGCTGTTCCGGGAACAGATAAGATAGAGGATTGCGGATTTTCCATCCAAGATGCAGCCGGTTAGGCGTCATTCCAGTGGAGGAGTGGATGGAGTTGTTGTACAACCCCTGCACAATCGGCAACTCCTCATCCCAAGAGTTCTGGTGAGGCACGATAAGAGCCTTGAGAAGTTGGATCACGGTCTGGTTGATCTCCTTGGCCAGTCCATTGGCTTCGGGGTGTCGACCAGACGTCATCTTGAGTTTCATGTCGTAGGTTTGGGAGGTGAAGTCCTTCCAATTTGCACTTATGAACCTGGTATCCCGATCACTCACAAGAGTCTTCGGGGGACTGCACTGCAGGATGTATCTTTTGTCAAATTCTTCGATCACAAGGTTAGTTGGGGCGTGAGGTGGTAATGGGATTAGATGCAGAAATTTGGAAAAACGATCAACGATCACCATTACTTGCGAATAACCGTTTCTGCTCTTTTTCCCCATGTTCGTGAAGTCAATGAAAACAGACTCACCCGGGCCATCAGGGATAGGAAGAGGGTGCAGCAGCCCATAGGGCTTCTGTCGAGACGGTTTGATGCGTTGACAAACTTCACACTCAGCTACAAACCTTTGTGCCATCCTTTTCATTCCAGGCTACACAAATTTTTCTAACAGATTCTCGTATGTCTTTTCAACACCGAAATGTCCACTCCGGCCATGAGCCAAATCCAAGAAGTGGGTCATGATCGGCTAATGGTTGGGCACACACAATCGGTCATGCTTCCCGTTGCGTCGGAAGAGAAGGCCCTTGCATTCATGGAAATCAGGCTGACTGCTAGGGTCAGCCCGAATCTGCTCAAGGATGGGACTGAGTTCCGGATCCTTGGCAGTATGCTCGATGAGTTCCTCCTTCAAATTTTTACGCAGGTCATAGGAACCCACAAGGCAAGTCATGTACTCAGGGTGGCGAGACAAAGCATCCGCAACTCGATTGTAACAACCTTTCTTGTGCTTAATCTCAAAATCATACACATCAATCTCATGCAGCCAGCGGGTCAATGTGGTTGAGGGGTTAATCTGTGTCTGAATCCATTTCAAAGTCTCGTGATTTGAGAACACTTTGAAATGGCGACCCAAGAGGTAGTGTTTCCAATGATTCAGTGCCTCTCTCAAGGCATAGAGCTCTCGCATGTAAGTGGAAGCAACTACCTTGTGACTGGGCATGCGTTTGGTGTAGTATTCRAGCGGAAGTAGGCCATCACCATCATCTTGCTGCAGCACTGCACCAATCCCATACAAACTTGCATCCGTAGTTACTACGAACGTAAGCTTGGGATCCGCAATGCGGAGCACCGGATGACTCACCAAAGCCTCCTTCAAGGCGTCGAAGGCTGTCGTGCATTCCTCATCCCATGTGTAGGACACATTCTTGCTTGTTAGTCTAGACAACGGACGGGCGATGATAGAGAATTTGGGCACAAACTTACGGTAGTACGACACAAGACCAAGAAAAGAACGTAACTCGCGGACATTCGCGGGTTGAGGCCATTTTYGGATGACCTCAACTTTGGTTGCCYCGGGCTCTAGGCCTGCAACAGACAACCGATGTCCARGGTAGATGACGCTGTCCCTCCCAAACTCAGATTTCTCCAAGTTGAGATGGAGCTGCGCGTCCTTGAGGATCTGCATCACTTCCTCAAGGTGTCTCATGTGCTCCTCCATCGATTTGCTGAAGATTAGTATGTCATCCAGATATAGAGCAACAAATCGGTTGATCTGATTGCGAAATACCTTATCCATGAGACTTTGAAAGCTGGCTGGCGCATTCGTGAGACCGAAGGGCATGACTGTAAACTCGTACAGCCCATCACAAGTTTTGAATGCAGTTTTATGCTGGTCTGCAGGATCGACTTCAATCTGGTGATAGCCTGACTTGAGATCGATCTTGCTGAAGACTTTGCATCCACCTGCTGCATCAAGCAAATCATCGATACGTGGCAAAGGATATGCATTCTTTCTTGTGATTCGATTCAATCCGCGGTAGTCAATACACATCCGTAGTTTGCCTCCTTTCTTAGGGACAAACAGAACCGGTGCACCAAACTCAGATTCACTTGGTTTGATCCATCCTTTCCCAATCATATCATCAATCTGCCTTCGCAACTCCTCCAATTCGCCTGAGCCCATCCGATAGACACAGCCCTTTGGAGGAGTGCTACCTTCAATCAACTCGATCTTGTGTCGGACCGGACGCACGGGGACTCCATGGGGTTCGGCCAAGACTTTTGGAAATCGGTTGAGAAGGTTGCGAATTTCTGATGGGATCTCCGGAGGTGGATCATCACTCTCGGGTGCAAGCATACCAGATTGCATAGGTGCCGCCAACACAACAAAATTGGAAGTGGAGTCATTTGGACTAGAAGTAGATTTAGTAGAGGTAGAAGTAGTTGCCTCAGAAGTAGAAACAGCATGCAAAGTAGAATCATTATGCACAACAAAAATAGAAGGCACATAAGCAGGCCTAACAAAGGCTATATACATTTGCTCATCAACTTTGCGCCTGCGCCAATTTTTGCAGAACTGCATTGCATTGAGAAAAGTTACTTGGGACTCGCGCGGCTCATCCAAGTGGACTGGACGCTCGATTCCCATGGCATCTTTGACCGTGAATTGTGAGTCCTTCCACGTGGTTCTTTCACATTGGGCCTGCAACCAGCCCAAGCCAAGAACCGCGTCGAAGGGGCACTGATCAAGGACATAGAAGTTCAGTTCATTTGTGATTATGCGGTCTGCGTCAAAGGTAGTGAGCATACCTTTGACTGCATGCGTAGAGATGACAACCTCTTGGTTGCCTACTTGGGTCCAACAAGGATTCTGCAAAGCCACGTGCTTCATCCCCAAGCGTGCCTTACGAATGTCGTGCGTTGAGAAGTAGTTGGCGGTTGCGCCACAATTAGCCAACGCACGGATGTAACGGTCGTTAATGCGGAGTTTGAAGAAGATCAACTTCGTTTTCCCTCGCACGCGTTCTTGCTTCATGTGAGCCCAGCGTGTTAAGAGGGCATGAAAGTCGATTTCTTCCGACTCCACCCAAGGCTCCTTGTATAGGATGTGTACTTGCTCAGCCTTGGAATCAGCATCAGATGGGGTTTCAAGAGAGGTTTGCTGAGTGGGATCAGAATCCAGAGAAATCTGCACTTACATGTTCAACCTCTCCATCTGTAGAGTGTGCTGATGATGTCTCTACCCCCGTTGCTGGTTTCCCTGCTGCAATCTGAAACAACGTTGGACTGAGTGTCCCGGTTTGGTGCAATGCAGACAACCCCCTTTTTTCACCCTGTTCTTCCACTCACTTTCACTGATCCGGAGATCTACCCATGGTTTGGTGGTAGGATCTTCCGGTTTGGGTGGAATCTTCGCTCCCTTGGGAAGGAGAATCGTGTTAGTATTGTTCTTCACTGTGGTCCTCGGTCCCTTACTTTTGAAGGCAGTCTTCTTGAAGGCATTCATAGATTCATCATCATGCACACACTAAGACTCATGGGCTGACAAAGAGCAGGATGCCCCGCAGTCTTGCTCTTGATCGTCATCAAGAGAAGATTTCTCCACGAGGGTCTCCTCGTCAGCCTCAAGCAGATCGTGTGCTGCAAAACGGTTGCTGCCCGGAAACCGTTTGCGGCCGGTGGTCTTTTTGCCACTTGATCCACCCGGGAGGTCTTGTGCCTTGAGCTTGACTAAGTCCCGCATGAGGGTTAGCCAATCTGTATATGCGCTGAGTTCGAGCCCTAGGCGATCTTTTATAGTAGAGGGGATCACATCCAGACAGGACTGCGCAGTCATCTCCAGATCCGGAGTAACAAAGAGTTTACTAACATACTGCTGCAGGCTGTGCATGGTGTCGGTCCACTTGCTGTGCTTGAGCTTGTCAAGCTTGAGTCCAGCCTTGGCTGCAGCATGTGGATCAGCATACTGTTTGATCAAGAGCTCTTCGAGTGTGGCTACCGGCGTAGCCTTCAACCATTTGTTCAGGTCTATCCTTTTATAGCCTGCTTGTACAACTTGGAATTCCAAGAATCCTTTCACGGCGGGTTCCACATTGGTCCCTAGGACCGGCGACTGAGTAACTGGGAGTGTCCCCAACACATCAAAGTAGGATCGCATGGAGCTGATCCAAGATTCGATGTCGTCCTTTCCGTCATACTTAGACGAAATCTGGGCCGCCTTTCTATCCATATAGGAAAAGCTGCAGCTTGGACCAGCGGCTGCTGGGTCTGAACTTGAGACTGCAACAGTTCCAGAATGCCCTGCACTACTAGTTGCTGCTGCAGCAGCAGCAGCACCAGCAGCGGGGTCTGGACCTGCTGCAGATCCGGATAGGCTAGTCACACTCAAAGAAGATGAAGAAGTAGAAGAAGACACGTTCAGAGGGGCAAGAACGGACTGACACGCAGCACTAGAAGCAGGGTAAGCAGGCGGAAGGGTACTTTGGGCTGGCTGCACATTAGCGAACTGCTGCAGCTGGTCACGGTGCTGCTGCGCCATCAGGGTCATGTCGTCTCGCAACTTTTTGAGTTCGTCGAACACTTTAGCGAGTTGGCCAGTATGGTCCTCAACGGCCCGGATGTCTACCAAAGCCCGAAGGAGTGGAACAGTTTTCTCTCCCACCTCCTCATCGGTTAGGGCAGGCAAGGTACAGAAAATGGCTTCATGAGCCTTCACTGTCTCGACCCTCTCCTTCTCTTTCTCTTCCTCCTCCCTCTTCAATGCTTTCTCATAGAAGAATCGGTACTGCGCTTTCTCTGCCTCAGGGGCAGCGTCCATTTGCAGCTTCCAATCTGCTGCAAATGCCATGATGGAGGACGAGGGAATCAATAAGTCTCTCAAGAGGGGTCCGTACTTCCTTACTTGCCTGGGACGAACACTCCTCTTCCGTCTCCTCACTCCCTCAAGAGCAACACTCAGAAACTTCTCTCTTCTCTCTCTCTCTCTCTCTCTCGTTTGCGACCGTGTAGACGCAGGCATTAATGAACCCAATGAAAGAAACAGCTTGAAACCAGTCAGAAGAAAAGGTAGAACTCCTAGCTGGAGCGACAACTCATTTGGACTGGAGAGCAGTCAAAACAACAAAAAAAAGAAATAAAGATCAGAGAGATCTGATCCAGCCACACAGTCTGGCCCGACTACGTACGGGGTCTTCCCAAGCCTAGCTGGACTCAGCTCCGTGAAGACACAGCAAATCAGATTCAAAGTGTACAGCGTAATGCAAGAGAGAATTGAGTGGTGTCCAAGGTGCGAGTCAGGCGGCGGATCGTAGGGTAAAGTATGATAAAACGTCTCAGCGGAGATCCCCTCCGCAGCGAGTGTCCTGGTCCAAAAGCATAAAGTCTGAGTCCCAATCAGATAGAGCAAGGTAACTGACGTCAACAGATTTGGCCAAAGGGGCCCTTCTTGTTTGGGCACGGTCCCACCGAGTCCCAAACGGTCCCAATGGAGTCAGAACCGGGTCCCAACCAACAAGAGTTCCACAAAGACCTACTCCGTCCCTACCAAATTGAAAAACGAAACTTTGCCCCAGAAAGAACGTGTAGACTACAGCCGTTCAGAATGAAATAAACAAAGCACTGTAGAGAGATATCACATGGCAAACAAGATACTCCATTCATTCACTCGTCAGGTAAGTAGGCAGTTCACACACCTCACACACAATCAAGACTATGGAGGATGGAAKAAGAACCCAGAGAACCCCAACAGGCAGTCAATTCCATGCACACACACATGGGCACCCTGGTGGCACGACACTTACCTGAGTGG